GTGTGCATTAAAGTTGGTGTTAGGACACCTTAATCTATGGTCATAGGTCCGAAATTTTTGAGTTATTGCCCATGGTTGGGTAATCTTGAGTTATATTTCGTTGATTGAATTATGAATTGCCTTATGCAAATGGATTTTTGAATTGAATTACTTATGTGAATTGGCATTGAATTGATTGTTTTGTATGTGTATGTGAAACAGATGGAAAAGATTGATGAAATGAGAAAGAAATACTTTAACTTGCATTATTTGAAAGATGATGGAGTTAGTGTTAGTGAGTTGTGATTGGCATAGTTACTTTGGCCTTAACCCTCTATGAACGATATGGATTGGAAGTGTTGACCCAACCACCTTGGATGATTTTCTTGGCCTTAGCCCACTTGCCTAGAGTTTTCAAATACAAACCTCTCTTTGACAAGTATAAGGTGTAATCAAGGATAATGGAATGTGGAATGAAGTACACCATCATGAAGGGAAGTGGTTAGCAACCATGTCTAGCTTCAAAAGAGACTTGCATTATGTTAAACGTGACTATGAGCCAAGGAGGAGAATTGTGAAATTTCCCAAACTCTCAAAGAATGCTACCTTGAGAGAAAATGAGCAAATGTACTACTTAAATGCTCAACTACCTTTTTTCATATTGAAAGTGTCGTCATGAATTTGAGTCCTCCAGTGATGAGTCCATACCACCTCTTGGGAGGAGCAAGAATTACTCTTCTCCTTCACATACTCCAAGCTACGAACCTCCAAGGCGTCCAAGTCCAAAAGTCCATTTCCATATTGGAAAAAGGCCCAGAACTCGTACCCAAGAAGTTAATCAAAAGCCACCAAGTCCTGAATACCATCCATCTTCACCAAAAGTTCAACAAAAGCCCAATACTTCTTCAAAGCCAACTTGTGGTTGTGCTAGTCCACACAAAAGCCCAAATTACATCCTAAATTCAAGTTCAGGCTATACTCTAAGTGACAGTGGATATAACTGAACTTTCACGACTTACCTAAGTGATAAGAGAAAGGCTAAGCAAGATGATCTTGACTATGATCCCAATGAGGACGACTATTCTGAAAGTGTTGCTTGAATGATTGAGTTATGCTATGTTTATTGCTTTCAATAATTGCCTTAGATGGCAAAGTTGTACTTTCAATTTGATTATTAATGAAATGAAGTTATTTTATTGGAATTTTCTCTATGTTATTGAGTTAAATGATTATATGAGTAGAACTTGTTTTGATTTTCAAAAGTATGGTAATTATACCTAAGAAGTATGTCTGCAAGGATGAGAAACCAAATGGGAAGAAAGCGCACTGGTTCCAAAGTAGGGAAGGTCCTTAGAAAGCTAACCCATATCACTAAAAACATCACAAAAGTGGTGAACCAAGGGAATTGTAATTTTGACCTTGACTTTTATAGTGAAGTTTTTAAGAGAGTTGCTACAGCCAAACCACCTGTTTACTTGGGAAAGAAAGACCTAACCAGTCTTAAAAACTAGATTAGGGTGTTTGACAAGTTGTTTGATGCTATCAATTGCCCAAGTGAGCTAAGGGTGAATAATGATGTTTATTATCTAAGGGAGGAAGCTGACTTATGGTGGGCCCAAAGAAAGGATGAGTTGATGAAAAGACCAAACTTTTGGTGGGATGAGTTTAAGGAAGCCTATGGAGTTCACCAACCGGAGAATGGGGAACATGTCTATCAATGAATACTACAACAAGTTCATTGAGTTGATGAGGTTTTCCTCGGAAGTAGTCCCTACCGAAACCATCAAAGCTCAGAGATTTTAGCAAGGCCTAACCCTGAACCTCCAAGGGAAGCTAGGGAGAGTTACCTTTGAGACCTTAGATGAAGTCTATGGCCGTGCATCCCACCTGTACGGAATCAAGGGGAAAGAGATGGAGAATTCTGGAGAGAAAAGGAAGAACCAGGACTCTTTTCAAGGGAGTGAAAAGAGGCATAAGCTCAATGGTAAGCACCAATGGAATTCTAGAGATAAGAGGGACAACAAAGGGAACTTTGGAAAGGGAATGGAGGCTAGTCTGCCAATGCTAGAGGGGATGGAAACCAAAGAGGAAGTATATTTGCAAGAGGTGTAAGAAAGACCACCCAGGGAAGGACTGTGAAGGGAACCCGGTAACTTGCTGTTACTACCAGAAGTTGGGACACCGTGAGTATGAGTGTTACAAGAAAGAGGCTGACGTTAAGTCAGGAAAAGTGAAAGAGTCTAGTGCTCATAGCAAACCATCTTATCCTAGTGGATTTACACCCAAGGTTAGAACCAGTAGCGTTACGAGAGGTGCCCTAAAGGGTCATATATTTGTGATGAACAGCCGTGAGGCTAAAACTTCTAATGATGTGTTAATTGGTGTTTTCCTTATAATTCTTTGTATGTGAAAGTTTTATTTGATTCGCGAGCATCCCATTCTTTTATTTTTCTAAGAGAGTAGTTGAAAGTCTTAGGTTAGAGAGTGATGAAAGTAATCCTGTTATAGAGGAGTTTCCTGATGTGTTTCCAGATGAGATTCCTGGTATGCCACCTGTAAGGGATGTTGAGTTCACTATCTACCTAGTGCCTGGTACTAGACCTAATTCTAAAGCTCCATATAGGATGGCTCCAGCTGAGATGAAAGAGTTGAAGACTCAATTGGATGATTTGTTGGAGAAAGGCTACATTCGACCTAGTTCCTCACCCTAGGAAGCTCCAGTGTTGTTTGTAAAGAAAAAGGATGGAAGTATGAGGTTGTGTACTAATTATCGAGAGTTGAATAAGGTTATAGTGAAGAATATGTATCCATTACCAAGGATCGATGATTTGTTTGATCAGTTGAAAGGGGATGGAGTGTTTTCGAAGATAGATTTAAGGTCAGGTTATCACCAGTTGAGGATTGCGGAGCAAGATATTCCAAAGAGTGCTCTCAAGACCCGTTATAGTCACTATGACTTAACAATTATGCCGTTTGGTTTGACCAATGCACCAGTAGTGTTCATGGATTTGATGCATAGGATTTTCAGGCCATACTTGGATAAGTTTGTATTGGTGTTTATTGATGATATTTTGATTTATTCAAGGGATAAAGAAGAGGATAAGGAGCATTTAAGAGAAGTACTGTCATGTTTGAGAGAGCACCATTTGTATGCTAAGTTGTCAAAGTGTGAGTTTTAGTTGGAAAAAGTGGCATTTTTGGGCCATGTGATATCCAATGAAAGAGTTTCAGTTTATCCAAGCAAGATTCGAGCTGTCAGTGAATGGACAACCCCAAGGAATGTGTCGGACGTGAGAAGTTTCTTGGGTTTAGCAAGTTATTACAGAAGGTTTGTGAGGGATTATTCAAGGATTACGAAGCCCATGACAAGTTTGATGAAAAAGGAGCATCAGTTTTCATGGACTAAAGAGTATGAGGAGGCGTTTCAGACCCTGAAAGAAAGGTTAACTACATCACCTGTACTGGCTTTGCCTGATTGAAGTGATCTATATGAAGTGTATAGTGATGCATCAAAGTTTCGACTAGGATGTATTTTAATGCAGAATCGAAGGGTGATTGCGTATGCTTCAAGGCAGTTGAAACCACATGAAGGGAATCACCCAACCAATGATTTAGAGTTAGCCGTAATAATGTTTGCTTTGAAGATTTGGAAGCATTATTTGTATGGGGTGACTTGTAGGATTTTCACGGATCATAAGAGTTTGAAGTACAATTTCACCCAAAAGTAAATGAATGGAAGGCAGGGGAGATGGTTGGAATTTCTCAGTGATTATATGTTGGATATTCAATATCATGAGGGAAAAGCTAATGTTGTGGCAGATGCTTTAAGTAGGAAGTTAAAACATTCGATGAATGTAATGGTGGTACCAGATCAGTTGTGTATGGAATTTCAGAAAATGAATTTGGAGGTTATGGGAACATGGAGAAGTGACTAGGATGTTAAATGCATTGGTAATTCAACCATCCATTTATGATGAGATAAGGGAAAGTCAACTGGAAGACGAGAAGTTGAAAGTAATAAAGAAAAAGATCGATGAAGGTTAGGTGTTGGATTTCACCATTGGTGATGAAGGGAGTATTTGTTTCAAGGAAAGATGATGTGTGCCACAAAGTCGTGGAGATTTGAAGTAGAGATTGATGGAGGAAGCCCATAATTATCCTTATTCAATGCATCCTGGAGGGTATAAATTGTATAAGGATATGAAGAAGACTTTTTGGTGTCCCAATATGAAGAGAGAAGTATTTGAATTTGTGGCCAAGTGTTTGACGTGTCAGAAAGTGAAGATTGAGCATCGTAAGCCTCAAGGAAAGGTCCAATCCTTGGATGTGCCAAAATGGAAGTGGGATTCAATTTTTATAGATTTTGTTTAAACATTGCCTAAGACCAAGGCTGGAAATGACACTATTTGGGTAATAGTAGACAGGTTGACGAAGTCATCAGCATTTATACCTAAGAGAAGTACTTGGATTATGGATCAATTGGGAAGAGCTTATGTGAAGTATTTGGTGAAGTACCATGCGGTACCCACGTATATTATTCCGGATAGGGATTCAAGATTTCTATCTAACTTTTGGCAAAGTTTGCAAAAGGTGATGGGAACGAATTGTTAATGAGCACAACATTTCATCCTGCGACAAATGGTCAAACCGAGAGAACAATTCAGACATTGGAAGACATGTTGAGAGCATGCGTGATGGAGTATTAAGGGTCTTAGGAAGATCACTTGGATCTTATCGAGTTTTCCTACAACAACAGTTATCATGCAAGCATTAGAATGACACCGTTTGACGCTCTGTATGGTCGATAGTGTAGAAGCCTAGTTTGTTGGAATGATATAAGTGAGACAATGGTACTTGGGCTAGAGATGATTGCGGATATGGTGAAACAAGTGAAGTTAACCCAAGAGAAGATAAAGGCAGCCTAGGATCGACAGAAAAGTTATGCTGATTTGAAAAGAAGAGATGAGGAATATGAAGTGGGAGAGAAAGTGTTGTTGAAGATTTCACCCATGAAGGGAGTAATGAGGTACAAGAAGAAGGGAAAGCTAAGCCTAAAGTACATAGGGCCATATGAGATCATTCAAAAAGTGGGAAAAGTGGCATATAAGTTGGATTTTCCCAATGAGTTGGAAAGGGTTCACAACGTGTTCCATGTGAGTCAAATTCGAAAGTATGTACTTGATGTGACACATGTGCTACAGCCTGAAACCATTGAGATGAATGAGAATTTGACCTTTGAGGAAAGACTAGTGAAGATTCTGGATACCAAAGTAAGAAGCACAAGGAACAAGGATGGGAGAATTGTGAAAGTGTTATGGACGAACCACAAAACTAAGGAGGCTACATGGGAAGCTGAGGATAATATGAGGAAACGTTACCCAAAACTGTTTGACTAAGGTTAGTGGTCGAGTTACGGGGGCGTAATTGATGAGTGCCATTTATGGCACTGAAATAGCATCATTTTGAGATGATTTTAGTTGCTTTAATAGCTTTCTTTATGCCTTTTTCCTTAGTTTTAGTCTTTTATTCTCTAGTTGATCACATGTTGGTTATTCTCCCTTTTTCTTGTATTTTCGTTGTTTTTATCGTCTTTTCCCTTTTACTTGGTTGCTTTTCTTTATTTTCAATAGAAAGGTGGAGTCCAAGGCCCTTCATGGCGATTCCTCGGGTTATAAGATGCTCAAGTTCAAGGTGGAAGCTCTTATATAGCTTACAAATCAAGGGATGACCTACTCCAAGACTTGATGCTTGCGCCCTCATGCTGCGCTCACATGAAGTATGCTGTTGAACCCACCGTAAACTCATTTTGGGACTGCCATCCCCAATGATGATCATTAGGAGCGCACCTCTTGCATTGAAGGACACACAGAGGAGATCCCTAGCTGTAAGGGCGCGGGTGCGCAGGCTTGAGGTGCGGGCGCGCCACCTGAGTTTCCAGCTCCGTACCCTTTTCTTTGCGGCCGCACATTACTGAGTGAGGGTGCGCCTGTATAGGTTTCTTTTGGAGATCCACTTTATTTTCCGTTAGTTTGTTATTCTAGGGAGAGAATTTATTCATTGAGTTCTTAGAGAGGCTAGAGAGAGAAGTTTTAGAGAGAGAAACTCTTGGATTTAGATTTGTACTTCAACTTTTGCTTCAATCAGGTTTGGATTTCCTTCAATCAATAATAATTATTAAGATTTTCTTCCTTTAATTCTTCTCTATTGCTTTGATTTTGTTTTTTATTCATGACTGATTGTTTGATTTGTTGATCTTTTGGTTAAAAGTGTGATTGATTTGAATTTCTATTTGATTTAGTTTAAGATGATGATGATTGTGATTTACTTAGTTTTGTTCTCAAATTTCAGTATGCTTAGTGAGTAGATTCCTTGCTAGGGAGATGGTGAAGCATGCATGAATGACGGTTATTGCTAATTGATGGATTTTGATTGATTGAATGTTGTGATTAAATTGGTTGATAAAATTGTGCATGTGGTTGAATTGTTAAGGAGTGATCAACCTTGATTTTAAAGCTAGATTGCATAGTGATTTCTAATGTCACGAACCATTAATTAAGGGATTGCATTTATTAATTGAGTTTGATTTATTATTCTTCTTGATAGTCATTCATAGAGGAACCTAGTTTGACTTCTAGGATCTAGATAACCTTTTAAGTTCTCTTGATAGCAATCACTATCCTCCTTTAGAACATTTGGTTGATTGATTTCCCCTTAATTGGCATAACCATCATGATTGTATGTGGATCCCAATCCCTAGTGCTTTTGATATTGATTTTTGATACGATATTTGCTTTGGTTCGATTAGCCTTCTCGACTACTCATTCATTCACTCTTCGAAATAGCTTAACACATAGACTATAGTTATTGACCCCCCATTCCTTGTGGTTCGACCCTCGACTTACCCTATACTTGGTTTAGGATTGGTTAAGTGTTATAAATTTTGCTGATGGTTTTAAGCATTTAACGACATGTTTTAACTAGTTGAGTCTATTTCATTTTATTTGAAAAACACAAAACGGTTTTTCCCTTTTTGGCTACATTTGTAGCAGTGCTACTAATATTTTATCATGAGATTATATGCATAGAGCACATGGTCGTTTTCTAGTGCCATTTGATCCGGAAATAGAGAGGACAATTACAAAGATAAGAGTTGCTAGGAGTTACTCAAGTCTTCCAAGACAAGAAGAAGAACAAGCAAGCATGGGAGTAAACCCAAGAGTGGCTTTGAAGGAATTGGGAATTCCGAGTGCATATAGGTTTGAGAGCGGGATTGCTCCACCTACAACTTCGGCGAATGATTTTGAAATTAGACTGGTAATGATCACTTTGATAGAGAGGCGACAATTTATTGGAGCCAAGCATGAGAGTCCTCTAAACCACCTCAAAGAATTTGAGAAGTATTGCAACACTATCAAAGTGAATGGGGTTTCTCAAGAATTCATCCGCCTTAAGCTTTTCCCCTTTTCTCTCATAGGGCATGCCTTGGAATGGTTGGATAAAGAAGTCGAACTCACTAAGGAAATGGATGAGGTTACTAAGGAATTCTATCCCGGTTTTACTCCCAAAAGAAAACAGCGGAGGCAAGAGGACTTATCTAAAGTTTCAAGCAAAGATCCAATGAAAGCCTCTATGAAGCTTAGGAAAAGTACAAGGGTTATAAAATAGAGTGTCCTCACCATGGAATTCCTACCTACCAAATCATCAAAATCTTTTATGGCAGTTTAAGCCCTCAAGGGAAGTCTTGTCTTGATGCGGGAGCTAGAGGACCCATAATGAATAAACGGAAGAGGAAGTTGTGGACATTATAGAAGATGTAGTGAGGCACTACATAGATTGGCAAGACGGTGAAAAAGAGTTAACTAGCAAGGGTAACTCTTCGGTGTACTCAGTTGATCATCTCAATGCCATCAACAACTTGTCCTCACAAGTCTCAAATCTAGGGAAGGAGGTGACTTCTATCAATGCCAAATTAGAGAGTGCCTTGTTGATAAGTCTATTTTATATATATATTTATTCCCCGTCCCAATGGCCATAATTATGTTTATTTGAGCTCTACGGAGCTACTTTTGTTACTAATATGCATTTCTAGTGTTTTCATAGATTTGGTATAGTTTTATAGGAAATGGCAGATTTAGAGCATTTTCCTTGATTTATTAGAGCCACTACGAGCATTGGAGTAAGGTCGCATTTATATGACCACATTCTGACGCCCAGGACCGGTAGGAGTCATCAAAGCGGTGATTAGGGGCTCGGTGAAGAAGAAGAGTCTGGGGCAATGATGAGAGGCGAATAGTTAGGTCGTTGGACTAACTACCCTTTACCAAACAATATTTATATACCTAAACCTACACCAAACAAGTCTAGTGATAAGTAAAGGGACGATCCGCAGAGACGGCGAATTATTGTAAACACTACCGTTACTAAGCTAGGTCAAAGGGATATGGAGAAAGACCGGACTAAATATAAGAAGGGAAAAACTAAAAACTATGAAAAGAAACTAAGAAATAAAATCACTAGGGAAGGGGAATCAAGGCAATCAATGTGACAAGCATAAGCATAGCAATGAACACGGATATTCTCAATAACTTGAAAGGGGCAAAGCTCAATCCTCTAGGTCTCTCCCGAGCACGCTACATAATCAAGCACCCAACCCCGGATAAGGGCTCGTGATTAACTTAAAGGGTTCACTTCTACCTAATTAGCTCTTTCCCAAGCAACTAAATGGGTAGCAATTAGATCATGCATTCAACCGGCCAAAGCGGAAGCAAGCATTACACATACCTCAATGAGCACATCCAAATCACTAAGAATTATTCCGCACACGCCACTATACTAACACTAATCAATCGCAAGCAAACAAACATCAATAATCTAATTGGTCAAGTCGATAATATGGAGAATTGCCTAACAACCTAGGTCACTCCCGCACACACTAGGCCATTAAACTCTCAACCCCGCCTATGAGGTCGTGGTCAACTAAACAATGAAATTATTCTATTAAGCTAGCTCACTCCCGCACAACTAGCACAATAGCGATTAAATCATGACATCAATGGGCTAGAATGACATCAAGCATTAAGACCTTCATTTTTAGTTCAATACATCAACAATTCCAATTAAACCATCAAGTAAGTGTTCATCTTGCTCATCAATCACTAATCATCCCTAACCCTAGTTAACAATCTACTCTAACATAATTAAACTAACAAAATCAAAGACATTAACACAAACTAAATTAACAAGAACAACAAACATTAACCAACAAAGAGGAACAAGAGAGAGACTAAGAATAAAACCCAACAAGGAGAACAAATTACCAAAACTACTATACTAATCAAGCAAATAACTACACAAAGCAAGAATTAAAGAAAGCAATAAATGAGATAGAGTTTAGAATGCTCATTAGATTTATGAAGAGTAATCCAAAACAATGTCACTTTGCATCTTCATCTTCTTCAATCCTCCATTAAAGCTCTTCACTTTCTCTCTCTAAACTACCCTAAATTACTCTTAATCTACATTACAAAGTATAAAAACAAAGATTAAAACTAAATCTAAGCCTAATTTATGTGAAGATTGATGGAGAGATGTTAGGGTTTAACCCCTTAAGGAGGAGTGAGAAAACCCCAAAGAAATCCCCAATCAAAACTTGGCCAAAAAGAGGAGAGGAAGAAGCGTTTAAAAGACTCGTAGCTGCTCGTGCGCGCCCGCGATCGAGGCCTGCGCGCCCGCGCACTGGGATTGGCCTGGCAGCAACATTCATTTTCAAATGGCCGTAACTTCTATTTTAGGAGGCTTCTGGGGGCGTTCAACCTACCGTTGGAAAGCTCTTCAAGTCTAGTTTCCACTGAAACTTGAATCACTGCAATTCAATTTGTAGATCAAAAGTTATGGTCAAAATAGTGATCAAAGGTCGGTCTATGCGCCCGCGCAGGTCAGTGTGTGCGCCCGCTCCAGGGCGCGCGAGGCATCTACAGTGGACACAATTCTGATTTCATCTCGATTGCGCGCCCTCTCTCTTGAATTGTGCGCCCGCGCAGAGTGGGAGAGAGGGATCTCCTGGGCGCGCAGCCTGATCAGATGCTCCTCACTTGATTTGCTCATGAAACCGGCTCTCAAAATTATCCCAAACTTTCCTCTACTTCACGTATCGAACGGTTTACCTGCAAAACACAGGAAAACACCCAAAAACAGTACAAGAAGGTAAAGTAGGGGGGAAGTAAGAGGGAAATGGCATTGTTGTGCAATATATGGAGAAGCACGGCAAAAAAGGGCTAAACAAGCGATAAATGAAGGGAAATGGTAGGGAAATGAATCCCGAATAGTGGCATAAATGCCACTTATCAGGAAATGGACCATATATTTGGAACCCAAAGAGGAAATGCAAATTGGGCTA